CACCCGCCTGCTGTGGGGTGAAGGTGCCGAGCTAGGCTACGCTACTGCAGCCCAGCAGCCTCCCCACCCGTTCCACGACAGCAAGCCGAAGGATTTCTTCCTCAGCCGTAGCTCCCGCCCTCAACGCGGGGTTTGCCGCGCTCGGCTGAGGAAACGCCGCGCCGGTGCGGACACCGCTCGCGTGAGGCTGAATCGAATCCCCTCCACCAGCGCCTTTCGGACACCCGCGTGTCTCAAACGACCGTAGGAGAAGGCCAGGTCACCCGCATGTCTCAAACGACCGTACGAGGAGGCCAGGGCTCGGGCACCTAAACCAGACGCTTCTACGAAGCGACTTCCCAGTTACACCGCGAGGCTTTTGCGACACGGTGGCCGGAGGGATGGCGTTCGGGCGGCTACGCGCCGGATCTCTGCGCAGATCAAGGCCCAGGCGGGCAGAGCACCTACCAGGGGTGCCACGGCAAACGCTGCCCGCCCACAGTCCTCAGAGGGGGGTTCCTCGCACGCCTTCCGCCAGTCTGCTCACGGGGCCCGGTCCCCATCAACCCCCAGAGCTCAGAACTGGTTTAGGCTTTCTCCCTCTAGCATAACTGGGTCACTAATACAGTGTTTTTTGGGTTTTTTTTCCCCAAACCAGAACTTATCAGCCCCGTTTCCTCTACAGAAGGAGGGATCAGATGCAAGGGAGCACCTGGTGGGAAATGCAACAAGATGGAAGTGGTGGAACACAGACAGGCAAGTGAATCGAAGAGGATAAACACGAGAAGTGGGAGTGTCTGTCGCTACTAGGTGCGTGCGATCATTCAATGGCCTCGCTGCCAGAAACTGGTATTCGGAAAAAAAAGAGCTTCAATCATCCCACTCACCTCAAATTCAGTTTCCCCAGACTCACGTGTAGAAACGAACCTCCCTTCGCTCTAAAACCTCCTGGGACACCCCCCTCCAGACCTTTCACTCACCCCGCTGCCAGATATTCTTCACTACAGGCTCTTGCAGGACAGCAACAACTGAAAGGTCCCCGGAGAAGCCCTGCCTGTTGCTGTATTCCCAGGCCCCACCTCCGGAGTCTCCTTATCTCCTCGGGTATTTAAGCTATGCGACACTGCAGCTCGGAGAGGCAGCTGGGGGGGTTAGTTGGTGGTTTAAAAGCAGCCAGCGGGCAGTAAGCTGGCCAGAACTGCGGCGTTCTCAGCACCCAGGGCAGGCTTTTTACTCCTGGGCATTGCCTGAGGATAAATCCAGGGTGGAACAGCCCCAAGGAGTTACAGGGTAAGGTGGGAAGCCAGCAGACGAGCCACTCTTCAACTGCCAACCCCCCAGCAGCAGTGAGAGAGCCTCGGCGGTGACTTAGAGCTGGTGGTTTCCTGCTGGAGAAACACCGTCCCGAGAAGGCGCCGTCTCCAGTGGCCGAGGCTCCGCGCATGCCTTCTTGAATTGAAATTGAAATCAGGGAGGTTTAGATTAGATATCAGGAAGAAATTCTTCCCGCAGAGGGTGGTGAGGCACTGGGACAGGTTGCCCAGAGAAGCTGTGGGTGCCCCATCCCTGGGAGTGTCCAAGGCCAGGCTGGATGAGGCTTGGAGCAACCTGGTCGAGTGGAAGGTGTCCCTGCCCATGGCAGGGGGGTTGGAACTGGAAGATCTTTAAGGTCCCTTCCAACCCAAACCATTCCATGATTCTATGATTCTCGGGGTGCATTAACAGCATCCCAGGCGAGCGCTTCGGTGTCAGCGACAGCCCCTCAGTAACCAGACAGGAACGTGGGGAGGGAAATCCCATTTTTGAGCGCCGTAACGCGCGGGACGCCATCTCTCCCGGGTAGTTTCAGGAGTAGGAAAAGCCTGAACTCATAGACTCTTTGTTCTGACAGCACGGCAGCACCCCTGCGACAAAACCCTACCAGGGCGCGGGGAGGCCTTGTGGCACCTCGATGCAGCGTGCGAGAACCCGGGTTTAGCACAGGTTAGCAAAGGTGCAGGACTCTGAAAGCAACAGCCCAACCCCGCTCTGCCCTGCCACCCCGTACTCCCCAAAGACCATCTCACAAGGGGACTGAACGCCTTCCCCCTCCTAATTCCGATCCCACAGCCACTTCCAAGTCTGTTCCGCTTCCAGTCCTCTACGGTAGCAGGTGAGGGAAGGAGGGGGGGTGGGGAAAGAGAAGGGATGCCTAGAGAAACATTAAGGAAAGGAAATACTCTGCTTGTCCATGCTTGAAATCTCCATTCTCCTACCTGGCAAGTCTCTCCTTATCCGCTGAACTCTGTTCATCATCAGACCTAAAAATAAAATCAGCGATCTAAGCTAAAACGGGAAAAAAAAAAGCGTAAAAGAAAAGGAAAAAATGGGAAGGCGCGCTAGGAAACCCAGCCTACAGACACGCCTGGTTTTCCAGGGGGGCAATTCCGCAGGCAAAGCAGCCGTTAGTTGGCAACGTTACGCGTCACACGGGTGCCGCCGCTGACAGCGGCGCGAAGCTTTACGGCGCTTACCAAGACTGCAAAAAGGAGGCAAAGGGCTTAATTAAGCTCTGGATAACGCGACCGAGGGGCAGAGTATTCTGCAAGGTTAGAAGGTTAATGGCAGAGCTGGGAATTAGGATCCCAGTGACGTTAAACTACTCTTTTTTTAAGGAAATAAACCCATCAGTAGCCTCTTCGATAGCACGAACAAATCAGAAAAGCAGATTAAACCCCCCAAAAAGGGTACAATTCACAGCTAACACCACACGTTTCCGGAACGCTGCTACACCAACACCGTTCAGGACGGCACAGCCGAGGCAGCGACGGGACAAACAGCACACGGAGAGGTGACGTACATCCACAAAAAAGGCACACGGACATCCCCACCCACCTGCATCCACTTTGTTTTCAGGGAAGAGGAATCCCCAACCTTGTTTTACAAGGGTGGATGGTAAGTTTTCCTCCTTGAGGTTTGGCTGCCTTGGAAAACAAGTAATCCCCCAAGAGCTGCCGCCGGGAAGGGAGAAGGTGCCACGTGCTCGGTAAGGCCGAGCATCTACAGCATCACTGGATTTCGGGAGTATGGAAGGGGCCTTCAGCTGTGTTGCCCTTCCAGTTCAAACAGGTTTGGGTTTAGCACGTAAAAAACAGTATTTTTTTTAAAAAAAAAAAACATGTTGTTTTGCCTCACATCGTCTGAAGATGGAAGAATGTACTGGAAAACGGGAGCCACCAGAGCTGTGCGATACGAGCGGCCTGGAAAACCAGATCCGAGCGCTCCGGGCAGGCCAAGGGGCACGGGGTGGCTGTGCCACGCTTGTCTTAAACGGCGTTCAGGGCACCCACGACGCTGTCACCCCCCATCCCATCCTGTCCCCATCCTGGCTGGTCCAGCCGGGATCTGGGAGCGGTAACTTCCATGGGAAAGCACCGCCGATGCTCCGGCGGCGGGGGGGG